TAAATGTTTAGAAGATAACGTCTATGTGATGACGTTTTCTTCGGAGGGGACGATATAATTGAGACTAGTAAATTAAGAGATGAATTTATTAAGCTTACTGAGTCAGCTAACCTGCCATTGAAATAGTGGGCGTCAAATGTTCCAGAGTTGATACAAGATCTCGGTTCTGAAGAATATAAGTTAGCTATTGACATTCCATTTATTGATAGTACTACTGTTCGTGTTTTGGAAATACAGTGGAATCCCTCAAAGGATCGTTTTCAATATCATGTTAAACTTGAAGCTGATTGCGTCAATTGTTGTCTACCGTATCTAAACTATATGATCCTTTGGGATGGATTTAACCTATTACCATTAAAGCTAAAATCTTATTACAAAGTCTCTGGATTCTTAAGATTGGTTGGGATGATCCTCTTCCCCCTAATATACAAAAACAATGGCTAATTCTCCATAATAGTCTTATTTCCACATCTGAGATTACTACACCAAGATGGACATTTAATTCAAAACAAAGCTCATGTTAACTACACGGGTTTTGCGATGCTTCAATGGCTGCCTATGGAGCAGTTGTCTATTTAAGAGTGGAACATAATTCTAAGATAATAAATTCTTTACTTATCTCAAAAACTCGAGTTGCTCCTATAAAAACTGTTAGTGTTCCTCGGTTAGAGCTTTGCGCTGCAACTCTTCTTTCTGATTTACTTTGTTATATTATATCAGCTTTAAAAATAGATCCTGTTCCTATATTTTGTTGGACTGATTATTCTATTGTTCTGAGTTGGCTACAACATCCTTCTTATACTTGGAAAGTTTTTGTTGCAAATAGAGTTTCTCAGATACAGGATTCTTTACCAAAAGCCATCTGGAAACATGTTCCTACTTCTCAAAATCCTGCAGACCTCGCTTCTCGTGGTTTTGATACACAAAAGTTAGTTACATCCCTGCTTTAGTGGAATGGTCCTAGTTGGTTGTCTAAAAAAACAGATTTATGGCCTATTCAAAAGAATTTTGAACATTTTACTGATTTGGACAAACGTTCCTTTCAAGTTGCAAGTCTCATTTCCTGCCAAGCTGCAGATCATTTTATTTCAGTTTTGATTTCCAAAATTTCTTCTTGGGCAAGGATTCTTAGAGTAGTTTCCATAATATTAAGGGCTGTTTCCGTTATGAGAAAAAAGCCTTATAGTTCTAATTTTCTAACAGCTCAGGATTTAGAGAATTCTTCGGATTTAATTGTTAAATATGTGCAGCAAAAGTCTTTTCCTGAGGAAAAGGCTTTAAATTCTTCAAAGACTGTAGCTCCATCATCCAAGTTGTTTCCACTTACACCATTTTTGGATAAAAAGGGTATTTTAAGACTTGGTGGTAGGTTAGGAAAGTCGCATCCAATAATGCCAGCTATTCTTCTTCCTGGGGAACTTTCTTGCATTATTATAAGACAATTTCATAAGAATCTAATTCATTCTGGTGTTAAACTTACTTTATACATGGTTCGATGTAAATTTTGGATTATTAATGCACGTTCTATAACTAAAACTATAATAAGAATTGTACCACCTGTGTAAAGTATAATGCAAAAACCATGTGTCAATTAATGGGGGATCTGTCACAATCTAGGGTGAAGCCTTCACGTATTTTCTCACATACTGGACTTGACTATGCTGGTCCATTTTCCATACTTAATGGTATTGGTCGTGGTACTAAATCCCATAAAGTATGGGTTGTTGTGTTTGTTTGCTTTTCAGTTAAAGCAGTTAAATAATAAATTTATATAGATTATGTAAACGATTGTTCTACTAAAGCTTTTATAAATGTATTCAGAAGAATAACTTGGCACTTTATGCCTCCTTCTGCTCCTCACTTCGGAGGTTTATGGGAAGCTGGAGTAAAAAGTGTAAAAAAATATCTTAAACCTCAACTTGCAAATGTTACACCTAGTGCAGACGAATTTCGGAAATTATTAAGTGAATATCAAGGTCTTTTAAATTCTCGGCCTATAGCTCCAGGACACTTTTTGGTAGGATGTGCTCTTAAGTCGATTCCCACTCCTGTATTAGATTTAACTGATAACAGACTTACTCGCTGGCAATTTTATCGTAAGGTTGTGAAAAACTTTTGGCGTAAATGGTAATTTAAGAGAATATCTTTTCGAATTGCAAACGCGTTCAAAGTGGTTTGGTACTCAACCTAATTTAATGAAAGGCGATCTTGTTTTAGTAAGAAATGAACATCTGCCTCCAAATAAGTGGGAATTGGGTCGTATTATCAGTACTCATCCTGGTTCTGATGGGTTGGTTCGCGCTGTTACTATTAAAACTGCAAATTCAGAGTTTCAGCGTCCAATTGTTAAATTGGTTAAGTTACCTATTAATAATATTAAATAAAATTTTACTGTACTGATTAATCTTATTCTAAATACCAGCCCTGTTATTGCTGAGCGTTCTTGTTTATCTTTTGTATTAATTGACTTCGCAATTGCGGGGGTAGTATATTCGAGATTGAGTTACTCAAGTATATATATATATATATATATATATATATATATATATATATGTTAATTAAATAAATATATGTAATCTCTATGGAACCCTATTCCTAGTGAACCATTATTTATTATTATTATATATATAAAAAACATATACACGATTTTGGTTCTGTACATTACGAGAAATAAAACTGTTTTAAAAAGAAAATAATACTATTTCCTAAAACTCCAAGACATTCATTTTGCTGCTCTAAAACAACCACAAAGAAACAAACTAAGAATTTAAACGAGGAGCATCAAAACGAGAGCTTTATGATGTATTATTTATCTAATGGTATATATATATTTATTTATTTATATTTTATGTGGGTTGAAGTCGCAGTAAGAAGATATTATATGGTTTTAAGGGTTTGTAGGATGTACCTTTCTTTCAGAGTTCTCTTTTAGAAAATAGTTAAATGTCGTTTGGGTTACGGTTATTGTTGTTGCTTTATCCAAATAAATATCATTATTGTTTGTATAAATTTTAAATGTTTAACTCTCTTCCATATATGCATAATCCCTCATTTTGGAAGGTTTTATAAGCTATATAATATCGCCGATATTTATATAAAAATAAACGGGAGCCTTCCGGGAGTTTGACCTGAGTTTAAATGTAATTTATTGTATTTTATTTACTGTATTTATAATTCCCTTTTAATACTTTCCCCATGAATACAACACAAATTACCTTGTGTTACTAAATAAATGAGCTTTATTACCGTAAGTATTTATTTTATTTATTTGTAATGTTATATTTTATTTATCACTTGGAGTGTAACTTTTGCAGATTCTTTGCTGGGGGGTTTGTACGCTTACAAGTCTTATTCTGAGTTTTTAAGAGAAAGTAAAACTTTTAAAACTCTTATTTTTACATAATAATACTTTTTCGGCTTTTCAGAGAAAAATGTTCACAAGGGCGGTATTTAGCAAAAACTTCAATAGCTTAGGTCCATCAAAAGTATGACTCCAATTTAAACAAAAATACGACAACTTTTTTTTTTAACTGTGTTAACTTGGATTCACATATTTAGAGAACTAAATATGTACTTGGACCTTGGACCAAATAACACTGGACGCGTAAACAAACACAATTTGTTTCTTCAATGTGTTTTGAGAGTTGCTCGGTGTTTTGTATTGTTTTGAGTCGTCTTTTTACGAAAACAACTTAAAATGTTAAAAAGGTGCATAGTTAGTGGTAAAAAATACAGCGTAAATGCAACAGACAGACTTACATTTAGGTTAACAGCATTAGTCATGGACGTACCGACATGTTTTTATTTTACTATTAATTATATTTTGGATTAGTCAATAATACATATTATTTTGTAAGTATCAATTTGAATTGTATCAAACTTAACATCTATAAAACTTAAGCATGCAGTTAACATATTTTCTTAGATTTTCCTTGAAACTGCTACGCTACTGTACTATACATGTTGCAGAAAAACAAACGCGATGATTGTGACGCACATTATAATGTGCGTCAAAATCATACGCGTCCATTGTTATTTAGTCTAAAAATTTAAGCAGAAAAGAAATTGGTTTCGTCTATGTTTTATTAGATGACAATGCCTTTACAACTAAATACTAAAACTATCTTATTATATAAAAAGTTACTTTAAGATCTCGAAATTCGGGGGCCGAATAGTTGCACAGCCCCACAAAAAAAATCGATGTTCTGGCCTGGGGATTAGACCAAGTTTACCATATGTTTTTGGGGTCGCTGAAGCCGAACAGAAGCCCGTTTAATCCCATCACGTTAGGTTTTCAAGATAACCTCAAATAACCTAATAATCCAAGATAATAGGCCTTTTTAAAACCAAAAACCTTATAACCCAAGCTTTTTATTCACAATAACTTTATAACCTTTTATATTGAAGCCCATAAATCCATAACCAAAGAACCCTACCCCAATATCTCCATAATCCGAATCTCAATTGAACTCAACCTATTATCACGCAATCTGTCCAAACCCAATAATCCCGTAACCGAAGCTGTTAATCCACAATAACCTTATAATCTGATATATTGAACCCCAAACCCCATAGCCCACCCCCAATAACCCTATAATCTGAACCTCAACATAACTTAATCCATCGCAATCTTAGGGTTAAACTAATTGGGTTTTATGCGATTGAGTTCAATTGCTTGAGTTTTGTGCTTATTGGGATTTGGATTATGGGGTTATTGGGGTAGGGTAGGGTTATGGATTTATGGGGTTCAATATAAAAGGTTATAAAGTTATTGTGAATAAACAGCTTCGGTTATAAGGTTTTTGGTTTTAAAAAGGCTTATTAGCATGGATTATTAGGTTATTTGAGGTTATCTTGAAAACCTGACGTGATGGGGTTAAATGGGCTCCGAATTCGGCTTCAGCGACCCCAAAAACATATGGTAAACATCCCCAAGCCAAAACATCGATTTTTTTATGGGGCAGTGTTGCCAAAGGGCTACCATATGTGTATATACTTACGCACAACTTCCATTTAATAAGTCACACTGTGTAGTTTTTTCGATTCCCAAGGGATGACAATTACATTCTTCACATCCAATAAGAGAGTCGAAACCATAAGTTAATTTATCACATTTATCGCATTTTTCGCCAATTACATTTCTGGGACAAATACATTGGCCAGTTTCTGGTTCGCAATAAGCTGTTGATGGACATTCACAAGGTTTGCAATCGGGAAAACCATAGTAACCTGTTCTGCATGCTTCGCATTTGCGACCAATAATATGAGGTTTACATAAACATTGACCTCCAAACTTTTCACATTCAAAACTTAAGGAGCCATGAAAATCGCATTGACATGGAAGTGCACCAACATTGTGAGCAGCAGTAATTGAAAATACCGAGTCCCTACAAAATCCTACAAAAATATAGTGTAAATAAATAGTTTAAATTTTAAAATTAATAATATGATACCTAATAAATTAAACATTTAAAAATATGATAATAAATTAAATTTTTTTTAATAATTAACGTGCCACTTGGTTTTTTAAACAATAATACTTATTATTATTTGCGAATATTATTATTTGTTAATATGTAGTAGGTTTTGTTTAATTTCAAAATTTGATGAATATCATAATTGTTAAATGTTAGTTAACATTGAAATTTTTTGGATTAAAGATTTTACTATGTTAAATAATTGTAAATTTATAAATAATTGATGAAAAAATATTATTTTTATCGAATTTTGAATTTTCAGAGACGCAAATCCAAGCGGAATTATGCAGGTGAGAAATTCTTACTAAAGAATTTTAATATATTAAATTATGCACTTTTATTTTTAAGGGGTAATTAAACACAGTAAAAGAAAGTTCTTAACGGAAAAAAATTAAAGCTAAAATGAACAGCAGCGATTTAGCTAATGAGCTCCAGGTGAGGTCCAGGTGATTTCACAGAAATGCATTTGATGTCATAGTGCCATAATTTAAATTTATAACCTTAAGGTTTTTCTCTGAACTATGCAAGTGCATAACAATGTTGCCATGGTATATACCATAAGTGTTGCCAAGTTTTGGGAATGGATTTATCTTACCAAGGCTTAAAAATTATCGTATTTTTAAATATATTTTTATAATTAATTTATGAATTATACTTAGCACGTGCTAGGTAAATATATAGGTGTATATATATATATATATATATATATTAGGGTGTTTAAAAAAAAAAGAATTATTGTTTTTTTCTAATGGTGTTGAAAAATTAATAGTACCTACATTAAAAAACAAAAATTTTGGCGCCTATTTGAGCCCTTAATATTAATATTTAGGTTTGCCTCAATTCATTTGATGTTTTTCCAGTTCAATAACACGGGAATTTTTATTTTTTTTATTTTGAATTCTCATAACTTTGGAATGGTTTGTTTTTGCAACACCTAAGCGAGAGGTTTTATAGACAATTTTACGCTCTACAAAAAACATCTGAAGGTCAAAGTTCTTCAGATCAACCGTTTCAAAGATATCAGCGATCAAAAATAACACTAATAAAAAATTTCAAATAAAATACAAAAATAGTATCATATGCCATATTTATATTATTTTTTATGCAAAATCACTTTAATTCTGTTAACCTGAGACTGTAAACTTTTTTTTATATATATATATATATATATATATATATATATATATACATAATGTATATACAGGGTGTTTCAAATATGTATATATATATATATATATATATATATATATATATATATATGTTATGGCTAATGTGCAAACTTGGATAGTTTATAAACTAGCCAAACTGTCAGCTATTTTAATTGAAAACATATTTTCAACTAAATTAGCGGCTAGTTTACAAAATAACCAAGGATCTTGGCTAATTTACTTGAAATTATTAGGTAAACTAAAATAGCTGGATAGTTTGTTTACTATCCAATTCAGTTTGGCTAATATGAAAACCAAAATTTCTAGTAACACAAAATAGCCAAGCTTTAGCTAGTTTGTAAACTAACCAACCAATTCTCTGGCTAATTTATTAAAAAAGTGAGGTTACGGCATTGTTTTTTGTTTTGCCGGCTTAACGGGATTTGTTTTGTGCATTTTAACGTTTTTAAAATAAATCATAGGCAAAATTTTAACGCTTCCTTGTTAGAAAACTCAACAACACAACCCTACCGACCCCGCCCCATTGGGCCCCCCCGCCCCATTGAGCAAAAAACCCAACTAAAATGGGCAATAGCCAGAGAATTAGTTGGTTAGTTTACAAACTAGCTAAAGCTTGGCTATTTTGTGTTACTAGAAACTTTGGTTTTCATATTAGCCAAATTGAATTGGATAGTATACAAACTATCCAGCTATTTTAGTTTCCCTAATAATTTCAAGTAAATTAGCCAAGATCCTTGGTTATTTTGTAAACTAGCCGCTAATTTAGTTGAAAATACATTTTCAATTAAAATAGCTGACAGTTTGGCTAGTTTATAAACTATCCAGCTAGTTTATAAACTATCCAAGTTTGCACATTAGCCGTAACATATATAATATATATTAGGGTGATTCATTTCCGCAAAGTTTTTGTTTTTTTTCGGTGCTCAAGCAAAATATTAATCTGCATATAGGAAAAAACATTCTCACCAAGTTAGGGCTCTTAATAATAATTTTAAGCACTTACTATTTAAATTTAAAGTTTAACCGTTTAAAATGCATGTAAAAAATATATTTTTTTTTCAAATTTCTTTTTCACCTTTGACAATATTGCAAATCGGTTTAAAACACCTTATGGGGATTTTCACGCTCTTTAAAATTGCTTTTGAGTTTTTTTTTGTAACTCGCATTGGTTCACCTTAGGAGTCGTCAAAGAGTTATTAAAAAAAATCGTTTTTTTTTTTTATTTTTTCGAGCAAATCGCCAAAAGTAGTGAGAAAAAAGGGCTGATTCATAAAAAAAAGTTATCCAACCAATATTTAATGAATTTACTGCCATTTTTATAACTGAAAACGTAAGAAATTGATTGATTTTTTCTATTTATTATCATTATATTTCCCTACACTAAGAACTTTTTTAAAATTATTATGATTTCTCACTCATAATGAATATAACATTTAAAAAAATATATATATTTTTTACATGCATTTTAAACGGTAAAACTTTAAATTTAAATAGTAAGTACTTAAAATTTATATTAAGAGCTCAAACTTGTTGAGAATTTTTTTTTCTATATGCAGATTAATATTTTGCTTGAGCACCGAAGAAAACAAAAACTTTGCGGAAATGAATTACCCTAATATTTATAAAAAAAAGTTTACAGTCTCAGCTGAGACCTAGGTTAACAGAATTAAAGTGATTTTACATAAAAAATAATGTAAATATGGCATATGATATTTTAGTTTATAAACTAGCCAAACTGTCAGCTATTTTAATTAAAAACATATTTTCAACTAAATTAGCGGCTAGTTTACAAAATAACCAAGGATCTTGGCTAATTTACTTGAAATTATTAGGTAAACTAAAATAGCTGGATAGTTTGTATACTATCCAATTCAGTTTGGCTAATATGAAAACCAAATTTACTGCCATTTTTATAACTGAAAACGTAAGAAATTGATAAATACCAACCCATAATGTTATTTAGATTGATTTTTTCTATTTATTATCATTATATTTCCCTACACTAAGAACTTTTTTAAAATTATTATGATTTCTCACTCATAATGAATACACAGTGTCCCTGAACGAAGTTTAGGTCACATAAAAATGACGCCAAAACCTGATTGCAGTTTCTTGTTCGGGACCCTTTGGTGACTTAAAAATGATATTTACCAAAATCCTAGCTGATCCTCTTTTCGAAATTTTTTGAAAATTCATGATTTTTTTTTTATTTTTGTCTACCTTTGACAAAGTACACATTTGTACACCGACTTTAATAATATTGGAGTATATTGTTAAGGAGATTTGGAGAATACTGTTTATACTGTGCACATCATTTAATATATAAAGGGTTAGCCAAAAATTGCTTCTTTTAATAAAGCAAAAGCGTAAATATAACACGCAAAAAAGATATATACCCACCCATGTTTTTTTAGATATTTTTATGTTTATCATGCTACAAAATGGGATTCTTATCAAGACTTTATAAGAAAAATTGATTTTGAATAAAATTAAATAAAATAAATTTTTTTGGAGATAAATCTGTTTTGTGCATTATGCTTTTTACTATATAAAAACGTGATTTTTGGCTAATCCTGTATAAATCTAATGATGTGCTCAGTATGAAAACAGTATTCTCCAAGTCTCGTTAACAATATACTCCAATATTATAAATATTGGTGTACAAATGTGTACTCTGTCAAAGGTAAGATAATAAAAATTAAAAAAAAAATTAAGAATTTTCAAAAAAATTCGAAAAGAGGAGCAGCTAGGATTTTGTTAAATAGGTATCATTTTAAAGTTACCAAAGGGTCCCGAACAAGAAACTGCAATCAATAAAAATCGGTAGACTTTGCGATAAACAAATAATTTAAAAAAAATGATTTTTTAACAAATTTAAAGAAAAGCAGTTAGAATTTTGGTAAATACCGTTTTTAAATCTCCAAAGAGTGCCGATCAAAAAACTTTAACCAGTTTTTCGTTCAAAATTGAAAACTTCTAAAAAGCCTAAATTAAACAACATTTTAAATATTCTCTAAGCGTTATTTTATTTAATTTTATTAAAAATCTATTTTTTTAATAAAAGGTTAATAAGAATGCCATTTTGTAACCTAATAAACATAGAAATATCTAAAAAAATGGGGATACATCTGTTTTGCTTGTTATGCCAAAATCATGAATTTACGCTTTTGCTTTATTAAAATTAAGCAATTTTTGGTCCACCCTGTATATATCAAATGATGTGAACATTATTAAAAAAAGTATTCTTTAAGTCTCCTCAATAATATACTCTAATTTTATAAAAATCGGTGTACAAATGTGTACTCTGTGAAAGGTAGACTTTGAAATAAACAAAAATTTAAAAAAAAATCATAAATTTTGAAAAAATTTCGAAAAAAGGATCAGCTAGGATTTTGGTAAATATCAGTTTTAATTCACCAAAGGGTCCCGAACAAGAAACTGCAATCAGTTTTTGGCGTCATTTTTATGTGACTTAAACTTCGTTCAGGGACACTGTGAATATAACATTTGAAAAAAAAAATATATTTTTTACATGCATTTTAAATGGTAAAACTTTAAATTTAAATAGTAAGTACTTAAAATTTATATTAAGAGCTCAAACTTGTTGAGAATTTTTTTTTCTATATGCAGATTAATATTTTGCTTGAGCACCGAAGAAAACAAAAACTTTGCGGAAATGAATCACCCTAATATATATAAAAAAAAGTTTACAGTCTCAGCTGAGACCTAGGTTAACAGAATTAAAGTGATT